AGGGGGCTAAATCTTTACAGCTTACTACTGAGTCAATAAAATTTGAACTCAGAAATCTCTATGGCAGATTCTCCTACACCTAGCTAGACTCCCAGAACCAGCTTAGCTATAGCCCAGCTATAAAGGAAACAGACGTGTAGCACGGAGCACGTTTATTCAGTACGTGTATTGCAGATAAGAAGTTCGCGATAGACTTACCTCCACGTGGTGCACCCTGAGCAACGTATACTCATACGGTAAAAAAAGTCTATTAACTGGCAGTTGACTTCTCATTTCAAGCTACCTTCACCTCACTATATGTCATATTCGACTACTTCCATAGTACTCACCTCACCTTTTTTCTACCTTTGCGTCTGTCTCTTTTACATCTTTGAAACACTCTACTGTTCCACCCCCCCTCTCGACTTTTTTTCAATTTGATGTACCTTCCTCTCTGTGAAGCCTGAAGTCAACTAAAGGGCTAATGATAACCCTCAAGACGCCTGTCATTTGATATAATAATATAACAATCCTGATCATTCCTCTTTACAATGATAATTCGACTACAATAGACCTCTGGCATTTAGAAGATTATTGTTTGATAATAATTTCAGTCAATAGTCCGTACAATATAACTCAGTATATAAAATAAGTATATTTAGTGACTAGAAGACCCCCTATCGGTTAAAATGTGCCTTTATGACAGTCGGGGGTCAGTTTTTGTTTTGGGTATGAGCAATCATAACTCCTCCAATCTTCGACGTCATGGTCCATTTCAGAAATCAAGCTAAGCCAATACCCTCAACTCTTAAGAGCGAAATCTCACGTAAGTCTACTACATGTACTTAAAAGGTTGAACCTTAGTCACATATGAGAAGTAAAGAAGACCACGCACGTGTACGCAGACCCCCTTTTATCAGTCAGTCGATCACACCTCCAAAGCACACATTTCTAATAGAAAACTAGTCCAAAAAACTTCAACATTTCATCTCGATATGTGTATATATTAGATTTCAAATAATAGTAATAACCAAAACTAAAATCTAGAAGGTGTGAAGCATTGGCTCGGCAGCATCGCTCCTTCAAATGCAGAAGCTTCATTTCACCCTTCCAGAAATTGTGTGGATTGTCCAATACATACTGGAGGTGGGAAATTCATTCGCCCTGACTAGACTCCACAATGCAGTTGAAGATTTCTAGGGGGAGATCAAACCCATCATTGGAAGTTAGAACGATATCATACAGTTCCATATACTCTTCAAGAAGGGTTTCAATCTGAAATGAAAAAAAACAACTGTTTAGATGAATCAAGCACAGACAAAAAGATCAGTCAAATTAAGAAGGAGAGCGCTTGAATCTTCATTTGAGCTCCACTATTCATAGTGGCTAGCGTTGATTGACCAGAAAATTGTTATTAGAGGGCAGTCCATCCCAAATAAATGTTTAGGCTTTCAGACAGCCATATACTAGCTGACCGATTGACTACTGTCATTCAATAAATCACCTTAAACAAGCGGATCTCTTCTGTCGATACACTTTAATCTGACCGATCTTCAAGTAAGATTGCTTTATATAATAACAACCTTTCATTCCCTCTATGATGAAAAAAAATTTAAAAGCAATTTTAAGATATCAGTAAAGATTCTCCCTTGATAAAATAACATTCAGGTCTTGCCATAAAATGAGCAAATAGTCACCGAAACGAAAATTCTTGTGGAAGTTCTAAGAATCGACAATTTACGGTTCTCTACTCCAAAATCATAACCGTGACCAAATTCGGTGAGCTCAGTTATGTTATGCCAAATTAAGAGGCAGAAAGATTTTCTTAGGTATGATAGATGGGAAGTTATCAAGATCGTATGAAAATTAAATTAAAAGTGTAAAAGACAGATCATTTTGTTTTAGAATAGTTTGATGACTTTGGTCATCATAAGTAATAATTGAAGTTTCTCCCATTCAGTAAGGGTGAAAATTGGTTGCCATTGAGCTAAACACCACAATCACAGCAGATTATCTGAAACGAATCTGCAATAAAACCATTCTTTAAAAATTTTGGTTCCGAAAAACATGGTGGGTAAAATAGAGATTTACTCAAGTAAACTAAAGGATGAGTTTTTCGCTAGTCAATTCAATCCTCGAATAATAAAAAGAGAAAAATGACGATTATGTAACAAGTAAACTTCGGTCGGAGGAGGACTACATGCACGATTGCCAACCAGTGCCAACAAGACTTGAATAAGGAAATATAGTTTACCTTTGTCGTGGATAAAATCAGAAATACTAACTCGGTTCCATTGGAACACAATAAAAATATTTCTCAAAAAAGTCCAAAACTGAACTAACTAGAAGGGCTTGCAGAGAAGGAAATCAAATCACCCTAATTCATGATTAGTTGATAGCCAGATGATAAATTGGCTATCAGAGCTACATAAAATGTAAAAAAAACATTAAAAAAAGCAAATTTACATTGGCATTAAGGAATCCAATTTTTAGGACCACAGATGATTCATCCTCACAAACATCTTCATGACTATTATCCTCCACAAGTCCATCAGCCATGTGATTATCGTACAGAGAATCTCCCAGAAGCATTATGCAGCGTTTTTTGACAAACAATTTACGATCCTCCTCACTCAAGGCAAGGCTACCAAATGCCTTGTTGAAGGTGTGAATAACAGAAGATTGGAAGCTAACCAAGAGGCCCTGAAAGAAAGAAACAAGCCATATGTGAATATTAAATGAAGAAAATTAGTAAAGCCATGTATGTAAAAACCATACCTCATCGTTGAAATTCATGAAATTGGAAGCAACCTTAACATTGTCATACAGCAGACCCTCTTTTTCAAGGACTAATTCGATAACATTTCCAAGACCTGCAGAAAATACCACAACTGGAATATTATGCTTATGCAATTCAGCCATGAATTCTGGAACACGATCTCTAAAGAGAAAATTAGGCATTATATAAATAAGATGAAACTGACCTCAGTTGAAGATTACTGTTAAACACAGTTGAACGAAGACCGGCTTTATGAATATTGCAGGAAACGATAATTCGATGAGAGATATCCCACCATTCCAACATGTAAGGGATTTTCACAGAGTTCGGAATATTTTTGTCGAACTCCACTGATCCATATGTTTGTTTGAGCATTCGCAACTAGACGCAAAAATAGTTTAATAATTAACTAAATTACTTTAGTTCTGGCCTCATTAGTCAATTCAGGATCCTTTTCAAAAATTCCATGACATGTTGAATTCACTTGCCCATCCTTTGTGAAAGCTCTGGAAAGAGTCCAATCAAAATCGGATATAACCTGAAAGAGAATAAGTGCATAAAAGTACACAAACCTGCAGATTATCAGGACCAAGGCGGATCATTTTGCTGAGTTTGCGACGAACCCTATCCGGATATTTAATATAAAAATATGACGAAACCTAACCAATCTCAACGGAATTAATAAATCAAACCCTATTGTTCTGCTCAAAGAGAGATTTGAACAAAATATTCATTAAAGGTTTTTCGAGTTCTGTGTATCTATCACAACTATGGGTGGATAAGTTTATTTTTTGCATATTGTCATATGATCTCATGAGGGGAACTTTTAAAAATGGGTGGTAAAATTTGCCAAAGCAATGGGACCCCAACCTAATTATAAAAGCAAGATCCAAGCGCTGCCCCTTAAATTGTCTAGGCATTGATGGCGCAAATTAAAACATAAACTGAGCATTCCACTTATTTATATCTTAATATAAGGATAAACTTTCTCAATATTATTTTTAGAATAGTATCATTTAAAATTTTGTTTTATTGCATAAACTTATATTCTTGAGTAATTACCAATGTATATATTGCATCATAACTCGATGTGTGTAAAAAGTGGCAGAGCAATTAGAAATATTCTAGTAACCCCATTAAATAGTTATTCAGAGGTTATCTTCGGTTTCAAAGAGTTTTTAGTGCTCTTTCTGGTTCAATAGATGTGAGTATTCCAAGAATTATAATGCTGTTAAGTTGTTATTTTAACTTTAAAATTGCTTGTAGGTATTTAACGAGCATTGTCTTACGTACTAAATTTCCTTTGAATATGAAATAACATTTTAAATTTTGCCTACAGTTATAATCTAGTGATGTCGTAGTTGAAAAATACATAAGTATCCATTTCGGGTATGCACTTCATAATTCAAATGAACTTAAAATAACTACATGAGATGTAATTTGGAATTTAAAAAGACATAAATAAGTATTTTGTGATTATCTAATGAATAGGAGTATTGTTCTGCTATTTCATATAGTTTTTATTGGTGGAATTTGTGTATAGAAGCATGGCAGTTAGGTTTCAGTGTTGAACTATATGTAGTGATAATAGGATAACTCTAAGTTAATTGATTGTAAAGAAATGCGTCAATAACATTGTCAAAAGGATGCATGAAGCAAGGATCACACACACACACACACAACAGCAATTATGCTTCTTACCATACATGCAAAAGTAGGTTCGGACATTTATATAAGGAATGCTGTATCGTCTTTGTGATCAATAAAATATATTCCTCCACACATTTGCACAGAGGTTTGTGTTATAAGTTAAAGGCATTTCCAAATTGTGACCACATATGGATATGATGTGAATCGATTTCCGTACTATATTGATAGCCAAGGTATGAAATTGCTTTCATCAAATCTGAGCAAACTAGGGGTAAACGAGAATCCATAATTAGGTTGTCAGTAAGCACTATCTTCAACTCAAAGTAAAAGGTATTTTTTGAAATACTCGAATAGTGGAGTCTAATTCATTTATTTAAATGTAAATTTTTCCCTTTTATATTATTCCGCGAATTTTATTCACTTATATGTCATTCTAAGCTATTTTTATCATTCAGCAAATAATTATTATTTCAAATGGTAGTCTTCATGATATTTATCACCAGCCTAATAGTTGACTTCGGCTTTCACAAGGGGGGGGGGGGGGGGGGGGGGGAGGAGGGCATATATAGCAGTTAATTAATAGCAGTTCATTAGTTGCCTACTGGCTTCCCAGTATCTCTGGGTTACCATCGTTGTCTTTAGGGCTGGACACCGAATCAAGTGGTTCTTCTCCATTTCCTCCTGAAGGTCAAATACGGGCATGTTGGTTGAGTGCATACTCCCAATCCATGAAGGTGTTTTGCCAGGCAATAGTGTCCGTTACGTAGTCTAAACTCAGCAACGGCTTCGATTCTGTCCGTTACGTAGTCTAAACTCAGCAACGGCTTCGATTCAGGGTCAGTAGGCTATTTCGGAGAGTGCCACTGTCCTCTGTTTTTCCTTTGTTCGAGCTTCAATTTCGTTGCATCTTGAGGTCATGAATTCTCCCCTGATTAAGTTCTTCAGCAAATCCTCTCGTTGAAAATCCCACCAGGATGTCTATTTAAAATCTTCGACGAAAAAACTTTCTCATTTGTTCTTTCATGTAACTTTGCTTTTTCAACACAATTTTCTGTTTGTTTTCTCAGTTTTTATACTTTACATGGGCTTACTTTGTTCAAATTTCCAATGTAAAGTGAAATTCGAATGCTCTTTACTTTATATGATTGTCTACACTCTGGGTATTTTACAATCGTTATGCCTTTTTGATTGATTGCTATGTTTAATGAGAAAATTTTGACAAAACAGCGACGAAGTTAAATTTATTAATTCACCCCTAGTTTTGGTATCTATAACTCTTTATAACACTGACTCCTATTATATCTTTCTGTTTTCTGTAATATGTTTTCTGGTGGGATGTATGTCATCATACTTTGGTGCATCAAGCACAAGTACCCTTTGCCGTAATACTGTCATATTCTCAATATTACAAAGAAAAGTTGCAACCTTATACTATGTATTGCATCCTCATTGTAATCTAAGTTACTGTTAACATGACCTTATGCTTGTGTCAACTATATAATATCTACAGTGCATGTTCAAATCAGGTACTATCGAGACATGCAATGGAAATTTACCGCCACAAAACGCACAAATTTATCACGAAAATAGAATTAGTACAATTGTACAGTGATAAACGTTGGCTTTTAAAACAAGTTCTAGCCTATAAACCTAGACCCAACTGACCATTCGCACTTTCTGTATGAAAAAATTTCCAATCCCATTTAAGAATGTATTTTCCAACACCAATCATAAGCTAAGTTATGCCGACATAAATCGTCTTTAGCAAAAAATTCGAATTCAGCCACCCATTTTATTAACCAAAGCCAAACACAGTATAACTGACGATCACGTTAACCACCCTGCCGCCAACACGCAATCTAGCAAAATTCTCAATAAATCCTTGAAATATGCCCCACCCAGTAAAACAAAGAAGCTTCACCATACCATAATCTTTTATTGTATAAAATAAAGCTTATATTCTGTGCATGCATGCATAATGCTCTATTTACACAGAACGAAAGGCTTTATCGTTGGCCTCACAACATGAGTAGGGACAGAGCCTCTGAGAGTAATAAAAAGATGAATTGGCAGGAGAGGAAGAGAGACGATGATAATTGTGTTCGTATGTAAAACTCTCGTCTCGTATTGAAACAGAGATACATAAGAATGAATATGAAAGAAAGCTAATAAATTTGTGAGAGAAGCCACCACTCCTGTTAACTGCCGTTCAAAGATCCCGTTAGGGAAAGATGATTTACGAGAAGGACATTTTAGCTTGTCCACTTAAAGTGGACTTTTTGGGACCTTTTCTTCGTGCAGCCTCTGGGTCTTTGAATGTGAGACCTTCCATTGAGAGCACCAGTTCATTGTCAACGTCTGCCTGTGAAACACCACCATAACCGCCCATCCCACTTCCAGAAAACATATCCTGTGAGAGCATCACATTATCCTGACTAAGCATTCCACCACCCATCTCAGATGCCTATAAGTCAAAAAATTGGTTAATTCGATATTTAGCATTTCGTAAAATGAATGATATTAAGCTCAGGAGTTTATATCATTCTGCTTTTTACGGCTTTTGGAGAAAAAACAATCCGTCAAAAAAGCAAAATCAGTTATGCCAATCGATCAACCAATCAAAAAGAGTCGCTGCTCAGCAGTTCAGGGAACAGATAATGGAGTTTAGCTGTGATTTACTAAGTAAGTAGTAAATGGTATGCAATTCAATACCAAAAATCAAATGAAGGCCTCTTCAATAAACTGACTTCGCTTACCGCTTTTGCACATTGTTACTTGCTGAATAATTTACTACTATGCGATTTCAGAATTAAAAAAATTAGCCGAGAACAAAATTAGAGAACATCCCACTAGACTTGAGTAAAATATAAGCGACGGAAAAAAGCAGCTGAATACAACCTCCATTCTTAAAAAACAATTTGCCTTGAAGCCAAAATCCAAAAGAAATGATCTCAAAGACAGAATTATCTAAGGACAAAATTGCAGAAAACTTCATATCAAGACCGAGATCCTCCGGAATGACTTCATAACACCCCCGCCCCACTCCCCTGCGTTTGTGACTATCTTATTGAAAGCTATTCGTATCAAATAAACAGTTAAGGTAAAAAAACTTACTTGTGATAGTCCTTGGCCGTTACTAACATCAGAACGAATATACGGATCTCGACTCGAATTCGTTTTCTTTTGAGAGCGATTGGCCTTCGCTAAAATGAGCAACGACAATAACGAAACAAATCAATCTAGCACGCAGAGAAGTCGTAAGAATAAACTTACAATGGATCTCTTCTTCCCTTTCCAGTAGTAATGAGTTGGTAGTTTGAGCAATAAAGTCATCGTAGACATTGACATGTCTGAAGGTACCATTAGCACCAAAAGGTGTTGGACCTTGTCCCGGTTGATTAAAGGTGAGGCCTTGAGTAGCTGCCACAGCGGCTGCGATTGCGTAAGCATTGGGCGTTCCATCATCACCACCCCTCGTAGCCATAATATGCTGCTGTGGGTTTCGACTAAAGTAATCGGACGCTGCTCGTGTCATGGCTTCTACGAAGCTGTTCCTCGATGTTTCCATAGGATTCTGATTGGTCATGTTGGGTCCACCACCAACACGACCTGCACGAGCTGCTGCCGCTGCAGCCATCATTAGCTGTTCTTGGTGGTTCATTCGGGTGTCAGGTTGGGGCACAGCGTTTGCCAGTTGATTGAAACCGTGAGCGCCTGGTTTGTAGATGTAGGCTGAGTTCGGCTTGGGCACGTTTAAAATGGATTGGGTTAGGCTAGTTAATGGACCTTCTACAAGGAGATCATGTTCCTTGTAGTAATGAAGCAAGTAATTCCACAGAGGTTTCTACAATATGAAGAGACATAGTACTTTAAAAATTAATGCACAGAATAATTGAGTGTAATTTGAGAATAGTTCTAAAAGAAATTGCAGTAAGTCGTTTGTAGGAAAGGGGTTAAAACGAGTAGCACATTAGCATGATTCTTAAAATAAAGATATAGAAAACGATTAATATGCTATTTTAACAAAAGAATTAGGAAGCACAACTTTAAAACTTGAAGAAAGCAGTCTGATTGTGCGCCTATGTCTCGTTGGCCAATGTTAAGTAAGAAGGGTGGTAAAAAATAAAATTAACAAAGCGATAATAAAGTAGCCCACCTTGCAGAGAGCCTTTGGATTTCCGACAATAATGAGGCCATATCTGGCACGAGTGAGAGCCACATTTAGTCGCCGGGGGTCATTCAAGAAACCAATTCCCTGATTCTCATTCGCTCTAACACAGGAGAGGATGATATAATCCTTTTCACGTCCCTGAAAAGCATCCACACTGGCCACCTCGATTGCTTGATAGAGTTTGTGATTCATAACACCGACGAGTTGGAAGTAGTGTACAATGTAAGCGCGTTGACCCTCGTATGGTGTAACAACACCAATGTTGCGCGCATCGATACCGGATTTGAGCATGCTGAAAAGGGCGCAGAGAAAAATATATTAGTTATAGTATTCCATAACTGGTACAACTCCGTTTGAGGGTTAAAATCTAATTATAAACGATAATTTGTTAATCACAATTGAAACACAGGATTTGATTTTCGTCTTCAAGCAAAGTTTCACTAATCATAATTTCACAGCACTGAAAACCGAGATATTGTAAACTTTCAATTGCGTATGTATGTATTCTCGGGCAATCAGGTGGATTCGAATTGAGTTGTCAAATGCCGAATTCCAAAAATGAAAATGAAGCATATTTTTTAGTTTAGAAAACCAGCACCGGACACAATTATCACCCAACCTTAACAACAAAGTCCTAATAAAGAATAACGCTCACAAATACTTCAAGTCATACATATTTTTAAGACAGCTATAACCGAAGCTATAAAAAATCTTCAATTATAATATCTCCAACTCTCGCTTGCACTTCCTTCGGTAAATTTTCTATTTGCAGCTCTGCTTTTCTTTTATCAAATATAGTTTTTAATGAAATGGAAAGAACATTAACAAGTTCAAGCCATACAAACTTCCAGTATAAACTCGTTCCAATGATGCTAGGTGGAAGTAAGGATATACAACAATCAATACTGTGGGGTGTGCGATAGACTTACCTCCACGTGGTGCACCCTGGGCAACGTATAGTCATACGGAAAAAATGTATTAACCAGCAGTTGACTCCTCATTTCAAACCACCATCACCCCCACTATATGCCATATTCGACCCCTTCTACAGTACTCATCTTACCTTTTCTCTGCCATTGTGTCAGTCTGTCTCTCTTACATCTATGAATCATTATTCTGTCCCCCCCCCCTCGACATTTTGCCACTTTGATGTTCCTCTTACTCTCCGTGAAGCAAGAAGTCAGCTTCTTGAAACGCCTGCCATGAAAACGCCTGCCATCTGATATAAATAAATAAACACTTAATATTGTTTACGAAAAGAAAAAGAGAACGAAGGATACATCTAGACTCAGAAAAGTAAACCTAAGTTGTCTCTTAATTTTAATTTGAATCAAGGCATTTGTGAGCGCTCTATTTTAGCATAATTTCGAAGGCTGTCGGTTGAAAAGGGATGAAGGTTAACACTCGCATACATTTCACATTGTTTAATTAACAAAATGGTAGTAAAAACATACAACTAGATGTGAGAAGACATAAGATCATTCAACGGAATTTATTCCGATTTAACAATCATAGAATGGTTATTTTGGTTTAGCAACTTCAGTTGTAAAATGAATAAGCATATGTTCAATCTGAGATATTAGTTTGTCCGAGAGATTTCCTGACTTAAATTGTTGTGAAAAGAATTGGATCCCAAGATTATTATTATTATTAAGAGCAAAGTAATAATCATATTCACCACTTAAACATAAATAAAGGCTTTTATTTAAAAATAATTTCTAAACTGAGACTTAGTGAACTCCGGTGATGGTTTCATTGATAATCACGACCGGAAGAAAGAATATAAGGCAAAAAAAACAGTTTATTTAATTAACTGACCGATAAGGATAGGGGTATGATGGTCATGAATGCACAGGAACTTTAAGGTTAACTCTTGACATTTGACCTTTGGAACAAAAAATATGCCACAATGAAAAGCGCATTAAAAAAATCAAAGACATGATAAATCTAGAAGTAAATAAAAATCAAAAGTTAATGCCTTGAATTTTGTCTCCACTTTTACTTGACCCATTTCTTTCGCTCCTTAATGTTCCCGCGTGTTAGACATTTTCGCATGAATGGAAACTGTAATTTGGAAAGTACTAGTTATTGCATAATATTAAAAAAGCCCCAAATAAGCAAGCTCGACTTCATTTAATGAAGCTAGCAAAGCCCACCCAACATAAACAGTCAAAGAATTTCCATTGATTGCTGAATAACATCAAGTCGAAAATTGGCATTCTTTCATATTAGTCTATAAACTTTTTAGACTTATAACAATCAGTCACTTACAGATCAACAAAAACTAAACTACATTTCCATTACAGCACAAAAATAATTTAGACAGTATGTCATGCGGAAACATGAGAATATACGTTATCAATGCAAAATTATAATACTTATGGAAAAAACTTGCACAAAATAAAAAACCAATATGAACCCACTGTGTAACAATCTTTTCAACAGCTGCCGCTTCAGTTCGATTGAGATAGGAGATACCATTCCCAGATATTTCCTCATAGCCTTTAATCCAGTAGAAGAACATGGGACTTTCAGGATTGGGCCAAGGGAACTTGGGGTCAGCAACACGATCCTCCTTAGTTACACCATTCTGCAAGCTTCCGTCATAGAATACGTTACTTGAGAATGACGACAGAGAAGGGTGCATACGATATTGGACTTGTAAACGAATAGGACGAATACCCAAGCCCACAAGCCGTTCAAAGAGACTCTTCGTAAGACCTGCATTTGCTGCTTTTTTGCAAGTGATCACCGGACCCAATTGACAATGATCACCTACAAGGATCACTTGACGACATCCACTCTTGATTATGGGAATCAGGCATTCCGGTTCAGTTGACTGAGTTGACTCATCGATGAGAACAGAGCTAAAGAAGTGAGATTCAAGGCGTCTGGAACCAGCTGTTATACATGTACAACAGACCACATCAGCTGCTGCTAAAATTTTACCCTCCGCCTCACTCTGAAGTTGACGATAACGCATTTCATCTTCCCGACTCAACTCACCCGCCTCATCCTTTAAGGCTTGGAGTTTTCTCAACTCGGTATTTCCGGGGATATTCTTAGCTTGAACGTGGAGAGACAGTCGGGATACTGGAGTGGAGATAGCCTCTCTCGACCTGGCGCAGACTCTGACAACATTTAGACCAGTCTGTTCAATCTTTTCGCACAATTGATCTACAGCTGTGTTGCTGGGAGCACAAACCAGCACTCGACCGATACGAACTTGTTTGAGATGGTAGACAAGGGTTGCTGTAGTGACAGTCTTTCCAGTTCCTGGTGGACCTTGAATTAAACTGAGTGGCTGTTCAAGTACAGTCTTTACCGCATTGACTTGACTATGATTCAACTCTGGTAAACCGTGAACTGAAAAGTGTTTGGGCATATCGCACTTCCATACTAACGGTTCCACTGGATGCCCAAGAATACGCCTTTTGAGATAATCATGAAGCTCATTTCCAGAAAGTCTATTAACAGCAGATTTCATCCTATCAAATGTAGTACCCTTCCAAGTAAAGTAAACTGAGTAGTAAGGAGCGTCGTCGAAATCTTCGGGGAACGCGTGCATTTCCAAAAGTACATCTTCAGATATATCTGGGGAGAATGCAAACAAAAACATGATGTATTATAAGCTAAAACAGGTTGAAGAAATAATGCATCATACTTACTATCTGGAACTTTTATAACTTGTCCCTCAGCTTCGAATTCACCCTTGTATGTTTTAACGAGCTTCAACTGATCACCATAAATAATTTTCATTTCAGGACCATCCTTAGAGCCATGAATTTTGAAACGAGCAACTTTCTTTCGGTTTAGAGCAACTTCCCATCTTACGGCAACTTTCTCCATTCTAATGGACTCTTTCATTCGGCGATCGTATTGTTCTTCTAGTTGAATAAGGGGGATGAATGTGTTTATGTAATGCTGTGCGTTGTTGTAACGTAGAAGAACAGGATCAGCCTCTTTTTCAACTCCCGGCTTCTCGATATCTGCTACATCAGCTTCAGGATTATCTCGCCACATTTCTTCCAACCGATTAATTTGCTCTGCAGATATTTGTCGAGCCCTTGCCTGTTCCTGTTCACTAGGGACTTTGACAAGCCATGACACAAAGGCCTTATCGTTAATAAGAGGCTGCCAATGTGTGGGATCCCAATTTAAATGAGTATTACTATAGGAACATGGTTGGCGACATAAGAGTATAACAACTGATTCCTTTTTTGCTGGTACGAAGCCAAGATGAAAGACATTTCGTACACCACACATATAGCATTCAAGAACAACGTCACTAATTGGACTTTGTCTGTGCAATGAGACATCATTATATTTTGATCGCACGAGATGATGAATAATATGACTAAATAGAGAAAAAAGATTAAACCCGTTAGCATATGACTCACCTTCCAGAAGTGTTACCGCGCCCATTGCAAAACCACTTTTTCGTCTTATTACAACGGACCACACAAGCGGGGTCACTTATTCCACAATAGGCACACGCGTGTTCAGGCAGCTCTTCAGAATCATTTATCCCACTGATTTCCATGCTTTCATTGAATTCACCACCATCGCCTCCATTTTGCGAATAAGCTGAAGTACCTACTACCCTTTTCTTTTTCTTACTAAATCGAGCACTATTATTTAATTCCGAAGAATTCTAACAACATTTATTTGAAGGAGAGACATTACCTCAATTGAGTCGTGGTCCTCATTGAATGAAACTTCGACTTGAGAATGTGGAGGAAGTGAAAAATCACCACCACCAAAGTCAGAATCTTGTGTATTTGCGCCAAAAATGGCTTCATCTGGATCGAAATAGTATAAAGCTTGGGAATTCAAGTTATCCTGATTCATAGTAAAAGAAAAGGAGTTAAATGAGCCGCATAATATAACAGACCGTTTAATGCTTTTAGACGGTAACTGGTACTTCACTAAAAGCTTCAAAATAGTCAGCTTAATTATGATTTATTCTATTTATTTTATTTAATTAAAATAATTTGAACATGATAATAAAATTTTACAAAACTCCGGCGAAAATAGGCAGATCATTCTTTTGCTTCTAATTAAAAAAAATTAATTTTACTTTGCCTGATTTAGCTGATTGTACAGCCTTAAAATGGTAATTAATGTGTTTTCCTGGATTATTTACATAATAATTTAAACATACATGAATTTTGAGTTTTCAAGGATGACTCCAGATGGAGAGTGTGCTTGTGCGTTAAATGGATTTCATGGGTGCTATTTGCTTGTTTCCCTAAATCCAAAATGTAATGGTCGAACATACATAGGGTATACAGTAAATCCAAAACGAAGAATTCAACAGCATAATTCTGGAATTAAGAGTGGTGGTGCCAAGTCAACCTGTGGTAAAGGTCCCTGGTAAAAAGTCATATTTTGTACAATTTCTAGGGTTATGGTTTTGGTTGTCCATGGATTTCCTAATGATATTTCTGCCCTCAGAGTAAGAGTGTTCATTTTAAATATATCAATCTCTAGTTTGAATGGGCTTGGCAAAATCCTTACCAATCCCGACGTGTTCCTTATGTGCCCCCAAAAACTAAACGTGAGACTCCCTTCCAATTTCGATTTCGAATTTTGTGTCAGATGTTGCGTGTTCGACCCTGGAGTAGGCTTGGTCTAACTCTACGTTGGATTAATCAAGAGTATTATCAAGAATTTCCTCCTGGTTTATCTCCTCCCTTACATATGCCTTTCGCGTACGGTCCAATAGAATCTACCGAAATTAGTGGTGAAAAAATTATCAATGTTGGCCAGTTCTGCCAACTTTGTAAAGCTTCTTTTTCGGTTAGTCTTTCTTAGCATTTATATTTTTATTTAATCACTTTGTGTTCCGTTGTGTTTACAAGAATAATTGAATTTTTATGTGTGTAGTTCATTACTGTTACAACAGATATTGAGCGAAATTAAATCGTTAAATTAAATAGTTGTTAAATTTCACTCCCGATAGTTAACTTTACCCTCCAATCCCCCGTTATTGAATGGATGTTCTTCTTGAGATGTTTAATGTTTTGATTACTTTGTCTTATTAAGTATTTTTATTTCCGCACTTCTTACTCACTCCCAGTTCTGTGCTCCTTCACTTATCTCCTTTTGTGTTTGTGTTCCATTAATCCTGTATGATTTTGCGATATAAGTAGGGTCTGATCTTGGTGTAGGGGAATTATTATAGAAATTCAATAAAAATCCAATTTTGCAGTACTTTTATGCGCTAATGACTTAATAGATTATAGATTCTAGAGTCATGGTGTGATTATTCATCATTGTGTATGCATTAAGCGGGGTGGCTGATGAATCCGTTCATTGATTTTAATGCAGGTGAAACGGCGAATTTCTTTTCTGGAGGAATACACAATACTTAATCTCTGGCTGATTTGGTGTTGAGTGAAAATCTATCGAGAGATAGTGGTGCAGTGTGTGTGTGGCGGGGGGGGGGGCTTATGAGAAGTCACCATAGTTTAATCCTTCTTGACTTTTTCATGGTAAAAATAAATTGAAAGCAGCGGATGTGGACTTGACTGAAATGGCATTGAACATTGCATTCAGGCATTCTTCTATTCGCTAGCTTTCTATTATTATAGTGGCTCCATCAAATTAAATAGCTTCGTAATTTCGCATAAGACTGTAGGCGATAGAAAAACATTCTTTTGAACACTACCTTTCTATAGTAGCTAGGTAGTATAAGGGCAAATGGAGTACAGTTTCAAATCTCTTCCTATTCTAGGAATATTTTCAGCGAAAAAGTTGATTTTTTTTCAAATTATAAGCAAAGTTTCAGATCTTGTTTATTGGCCATCTTTATTATTGCCTTAACTTGTATTGTAGCACGTAAAATATTTTATTTTAAGTACGGTATTGCTTACCAGCTATTTTCATTTTACCTTTAGGCTGACTCCGGTGGTATAGTGACAGTTTTGTCCTGTCCAGAGAATTGTGAAGGTGGCTTTTGGCATACACTTTGCCTGGCCCGGCATCTTACGGAAGGTGATGGTGAATTAATTCCTTTAAGTGGTAAATGTCCTTCCTGCAATCAAGCTGAACTTCTTTGGCCAAATCTACTTGAAAATCGGAGAGAGATTCACATTTTAGTATGAATAGTATATATAACTTCTTATGAGATGAATTGTTATGTATGTAAATCAACAATACAATTTTAGAAATTATTTAAATTTTGCTTATTTAACTTTGTACTGATATAGCCTAGACTTCAATTATAATATGTCAAGATATCCCACGGAGGCTATATAACGTGTCCAAGATGAAGAGACGTGTTGAAACGTCCCGAGGTGTGTATCGAAGTTCATGGTGAACACGTCTGACACTTATTGCAAACTAGTTAATGTTATTACTCGTAGTATTGCGTTTTATTGCTTTTGACTAAGAATAGAATAGTAGTTTACCCGTCTGTATTCGCATAGAACCTCTTATTATGACCATCCAGTACTTTGGCAACGTTTTCCCAGGCAGTAGATCGAGGAGAGCGTTCTGTGTCTAAAAAAAGGTTGTCATTTCAATGGGAGCTTGCATATGTATGCTTGAACTGATAGGGTGTTTGGCTTGTAAATTATGGAACTATGGTTTCTTGGAACGAGTGTGGAATACGAGTAATTCCTGTTCCATTCCAGGAACGATGAAGTATCTTTCTTGGTGATTTGAATATATGCTCTTTTGTTCTATCTCATGATCTGGTCCCTTCATTCAGATAGATTTTCTCAAGTAATTATAAAAAAATTCTCAGCGCCATGAATGGTCATGTCCAGTTATCGTATATGGGTTTTAAGGTGGATCTTAATCGCAAATATCCATCAATTAATAAATGTAAACGTGAATATGTGGAAAGAAATTGAAAATTGTCAATCAGATAATCCGACTAAAGCGTGTTCATTTCTTCATACCTTGGATCCGGAAAAAATTCATATATATTAGTAATAATCGAAGGCAAAATTTTAAAACATATGTAATAGGTTGCACCATTTGATTAGCTATAGCTAAACGATATAGAAAATGAAAGCTAATTAAATCATTGCTTCGTGAATTATAATGTCAACAAGTGGCAAACGGGCAAAGGCAGGGAGGCATTTATTTTTTGAGCGCTGAGTGTTGCTGCGGATTCTACACAACACGCCTCAACTAAACCTCTCCGACAAAATTCGCTGTCATAAAATTGGTCCTTCAATTAGCTCAATATCGCAATATCAATAAAAAGCAAGAAACAAGAAGTGAATTGCGACTATTAGCAAATACCTCGATGTGTTTTAAAGGTTAGTATTTGAACCACAATCAATACAAACCTAAGTTGGACTCTCCGGGGTGTTCGTTTGACTCATTGGAAATGCGTCAAAATTTAGAATTTACTGCTTCAAAATCTCGTATGTATTTTCTTACATTTCGATAAAGGACAATACAAAATTAGCGCATTATTTCATTAGAGCAAATGAATGGAAATTATTGTAGATTTTCAAGTCAATAGCTCTTTGTGATATACATAAAACAGGATACCAAAGTTAACACAGAAATTGGTATATGGAAATTTTATTTTACTATCTTTTCTCTCCTCGAAAGTATTGAAATATCGCAAGCTTTATCACTTTTTGAAACACTGCAATAATTCTCTTGTTGCCTAAAAAAACTGTGCTTTCAAACTCTCGAAACTGCATAGGGAGTCCTTTATTTCAGAGCAGAAAATATCCAAGTAGGAAACTTGATCCCCTAATATTATTTTTATTATTTAATCTAATCTCCAATGGCAGGAAACATATTGAGAAAGCGTCAGATGAGTGTGCATATTAATATATCTTTAGCCAAAATTATACAACTATTCCAAATACTGCTCTGACAATGAAAATAACTAAAAATTTATTATGTGTCTGTGCTTTGGCTTAGAAAAATCAGGAAAATGAATAATTTAAATATATCTCTCCCTAGTGGTGATATTATTTCAATTTCTTTGTAGTTAAGCTTGTTAATTCTATTTCGTAAGCACACTGATAATCTTCTAAATCGCTGGGACTTTATTGAATTGATATTTGTTTATTTTGCCAAAATCACTTTATAATTATCTATAAGATGATTTAGAACCACAACTGGAGTCAAACGACAAAACAATATTTGATTTTTTGCCATAAGTGCTGTATAGCGCAATATTTTATTACGCCGATATCATCCCGCAAGACTTAACTTTGCTCAAAAATATATTGGATGGCTGGTGGTGGTTCTGCAGTTCGTAAGGTCACTAGTGTATTAAGTTAATTTTTAATTCAGTAAATTTAATAATGTTTTATACTATACAAGAACTGCGTTATTTCATTGGAATGTATTATTTTCTAAAATTTTTTAATGTTTAGTCCCAATTTCGGAATAAACAACGGGGAAGAGATAGATTGGATCGTCAAATTGACCCGCCATGGAGACCCGAAGATGATTATTTACTTATCAACTCCACTCTGGTGGTATATTATTTTACTAATCCTGGGTGTTATTCATTTTTTTTCATGTGCCTTATTTGTATTTCTTAACTTATAGACCTGTAATTTAGCTGAAACTCATGCTTGTGTTAAATTCACTCGACCATATTCACTAACGGAGGTTGAAAATCGATGGCGTCTCCTTCTTTTTAACCCTGTTGTTTCAAAAGTCTCCCTCGAGGCCATTCTTCATCTACCAGAGCACGTTAAAATCCGTCTCGATACAAAAATACCCTTTTCCAACAAAGAAGATGCCCAGCTCATGACAATCTCGTACAACGACGTCTTTTCTGATGGCACAAACAACAAGTATGCTCCATTTGAACGCCTTTTAATGGACTTTGCGGATGTATTCTATTCCACACGTACTCCATTCCATCTTTACGCCCAATGGAATCGACTCCGTGGTGCTCATCTAATCCTCGACGATAGCCACAGCAGAGATAACAACCCTGGAGGTGGTGACCCTGATAGTTTTTCTGATACTGAATTTCTTATTCGGGAAACAGCTGCTCGTAGTATACAAACTGGAATACCTCATCTCACTGATGCTCCCAGTATCTCCCGACGCAAACGGCTTTTAACTACTAGAGAGGATTATCAGGGTTTTCAAGCTTGTGTAGCTCAGGCCGTCGCTGATCACTTGGGGAAGCGACAGCGATCTAACTCCCTCTCGACTATTGCTGGTGCTGGAGTTGGGAGCGTGGGAGGAGCTAATAAGACTATATCACGAAGCCCGACGTGGTCGGGGTTTAGTGGAGGTGGAGGTGGTGACACTGGCGATTGCGCAGACTCATATACAGCTACTCAAGATGAAGTCATTACCGAGGTTAGTTTAGTTCCATTGTTGTTCTAATCGTTGTTTTTATTTTGCCCCCAACTTATGCATGTATTTCAAAAAAGTATGCTTGGGTACGGGATAGTTTGATGGTTGATTGAAGAAGCAGCAAATCCCGTCTGTGTAGCTGTGTTGGAATTCTTGCCAAGATCTCTTTTTGGTGTCATTAAAAGCTGCATACATTTGCAGAAATGGAGGTAGACTTTGGAAATTTTGCGTTTCCTTCTCTTTACGACTTTGGTTGGAAAGATTTGCTTTAGTTCAGTTGTAAAGGTTTGGCTTTCATATCCTTTGCGTTAGGAAGGAAGTAAATTCTATCATTGCAAGTTTGTGGTTGTTAACATGCTTCTCATCGAAATCAGAGTTGTTCCCTCGATGAGTGAAATAACCAGCCAATAAAATGGGGCGGCTGTTGTAAAGTTCGACATTTTCACCTGAAACACCATATGCTACACCCTATATGCAAGATGGGGGTTAGAAAACGCTTTTTTAATGCATACTAGTGGTCTCTAATAGAGAACTGTTATTTCTTAAATTATTTTATATTTTCATGCTGCTTTTTCCTCTTAGTCTCAGCGAGAACGTTATCGAAGACGACGACGTCTAGAGGCCAAAATGGTACGCGTGAAGGAAGAGGCACGTCGTTGGGTAGCTTTGGTCGAATCTCAAGTGGCCGATGGTCGGGAAGTTGCCGACCACCAACCCATCTATCCAACCCTTGCAACCCTCACGGGCAATCGCTCACGCTTCCTCATTAAACACAAGTCTGTAAGTGTCTCCACAAGTAATTCCCTTTCGTAAAAGCACGCCTCCAGTTTTTTTGCATATTTTCGATTTGTCTCCTCTGAGGCCTACAAAACTTACTCTGGTCTACTCGTGAGGCATTAGAGAAAAGAAGGTTGACCCACAAACTGAAATCGCGCCTGCTTCGCGACCGTCTATAGATTTAATGGGGTGACACCAGATTCGGAAATAAAGTAGTAAGATAGGTTTTATTGAAATGAGTGCAAAGCGGTCTAGCTACTCCTTCTTTTTTGAAAATATTATTTTTGCTCTTTTGCAATCTATTGGAGATAATTTAGAATTAAATTCTGGAGTTATAGTGCTCGGAAATCGTAATCTAATTTGGAGTTAACTCGGGAACCTCTTATGCATAAGGGGATGTATATTTGAAGGACGCGAGGGTCAATAAGAATTTGTAGTATAAAAAAAAGCCGACTAAGTATTAAATGGTACAGGGGTAGTAGAAAGAGCCCATCTTGCCACAGTGACTACTCCCGTCTAAAACCGTTTTGAGTTTTGGTTAAGTGTATGTAAAGCTCAATCTTCTACCATCCTGGTCTGCCTTCTAGTAAGGTTGTCCTCATTTAGCTTACATCTAATTCAACAGTAGCAATTTATTAAATTACATTGTTCGACGATTGAAATGAATATGTGAATGGTTAAGTCGGTACACTTCTTCGTTTATTCCTCATTTTATTCCAGGTCACTTTCGGTCGTGGGGCCTCAAATTTTACCCCCGATATCGATCTCTCCTGCGAAGATGAGGCCTCTCGGATTTCGCGATGTCATGGCAGAATCATTCTTGGCGATAACGGGGTCTTCTTTATAAAGAATCTCTCCAAGCATCCCATTCAAGTGGACAATAAGATTGTCCTGAAAGGTAGTCATTAATCTATCCTTTTTCTTATACTATTCCCCCCCCCCCCCACCTGATTTACTACTATTTTATAATGTTCAATTGCTTCTCTATACGACTAAATTACTCCGACTCAAGAAGAGGGGAGGAAGGAGATCTATCTTTCAAATGGCAAATAAGCGTACTTAATTAGAATCAGATAGGTAATACATGACTTGCTGCCTGGTTGACCAATAACTACTGCCGTGTTTGTTTCAGTAATAGGCTTATGCATTCAGCTTCAAGCATAGAAATTTGATAATCGATAATCCAACGCTCAATGAATAAAGACTAAGTCTTCTATTGGGATTTACGAAGAATATTCAAATGAATTTTCCTTCCATATTTTATTTATAATTTCAGATCAACAATGCGAATTGGCTGACAAGTCGAATATCTTCATATCTCATCTCTACTTTCGATTCGATGTAGAACATGCCCAATTGGATATGCTTTCTGGAACTAACGTTACCACTACAGCTCCTAAGAATGAGCTGATCTCGCCGATGGTGAAAGGGAGCAAAGAAATCAATCATATGGAGATAGATGGGGAGGATCAATTTGTGGAATAACTTTCCTGCTCTTGTGTGTGTATATATACATTTATTTCTTAAAGTTTGGCATTTTTGACACTATCTCCGATCATGAAATTGCGGTAAATATTGGAAGTTCAATCAACAAATCTCCAAGTTTTATTTCTTGAATCCAGATTGTCCATTATTTACTTAATGTGCAATTCCGCTACAATTTCTGTGTTTCATCCCTTGGCTTACTGGGCAAGTTTTTTGTGTCTATTGACTGGTTCTTTAATCTTGATTATCAGTCCTGTCACACTTCAATTCATTTCTTTCTTCCAAAGGTTGGGAAAGCCCATTTGTATAAAGGACCTACTTTATCCATATAAGTTTTGCCTTGGGTGGTTGAAAATGGGGAATAAATGTTACTATTCTAGTGGCACGGTTATGGTTGTGATATCCTTAATTGTCCATCGAGATAACGTCGTTTTTACTACCACTCAGGTACAATAGAATCAATAGAAAGGGGCCTGAAGTTACCTTTATCTTAATTAACTTTCAAGGGACAAAAGTGCAGAGATCCCGATGAAGAGAAAGGGTCTGCAGGGAGAGCGTCGGTGCGCTTATAGGAATAATAAATAAGCTCAAATATATGTGTTGGAAGGGGGATAATTGGCTACCTGGTTGACTTATAATCGAGCATTAACTGGGAGATTGCACATCAAGGCACGAACTTAGAACAAAAATCGATCGTTCCGCGCATTCGAGTTGAAGTCTGAGAAAAAAGTCAGTTCGGCCTCCTGCAATTAAGCCAACAATAATGAAATTGCATAAAACCAGAGAAATATGATGGCCCAAAGTGAGGGGATGGGGTGAAATCCCAATAAAGAGATGTATAGTTTCCTCCTTTCATTACTATCTAGAAGTGATTAAAGGGATAGATGTCAATGTGAACTTTAGAAATTTCGAAAAGATTGACGAACAGACCCGCTGTTAATCAATGTGCTTTCTCATTTGTCCTAGCCATAGCCATTTGAAAATAAGATATTGATTAATTAAGTAGATCATACCACCTCCAAATTGACATTTTGACTCATCTTTCATTCTCGAATCCTTCACTCCCTATATGGAAGCCTTCATTATACTTTGGTTCTTTCCATTATTGATTATTTTTAATTTTTACTTTCTATTCGAATCATTGACGACGAACTCTGATCACTTTACATTGCATCAAATTAATTTAATTCCTAAGTAATTGATAACGCTTTAATGAATCTGCAATTCAATTAAATAAATTATTGTTAAAAGCCGTAATTATTGTAGTCATTTGTACTAAGGATGTTTTTCTAACAAGCCTTTCTGCAAACACCAATTGATGATTTTTTAATAAAAATGGAAAAAATGTCCTAAATAGCTAAGAGAAACGGCATTATATTACAACCGAAAGAAAAAATTTTACTTCAAGTAAAACAATTAGGTAATTAATCTTCCTCTAGGGTAAACGGACAACTACGCACGTACGCATTGGAAACAAATTAACCAATCATCTGATAGATAATGAACTAGGGCAAAATGTCTAAGTGTATCCAAAATGCAGCACTTAGTCTGATTAACCAAGCGTTCAAGCTCAATTTTTCCCTCGTCCATCTGATTGGTCACTCGAGTAAATATGAGGCTGCCAGTTCGAACAAAAACAGACCTCTTTTTACTTGAATTTAACCCGAAAAAGAGAAAGCGTATTTTTAACAGAAATCTAGCCAGTAAATTAAATTACTGCTCTAGAGTTTGAATAGAATTTGTCCGCGTGTTGCAATAACCTAAGATAGCTCCAACCGAAATCGTAATAGTTATGTAAAAATATTAAGTTTTTTTGAAATTTGTGTGATCTAATAGAAAATTGAATTGACATCTTCCATTTCCTGAACACGGTTCATCAATTTTGCCGAGAACGGCCAAATTTGTTCAGCAATATTTTTGTAGAAATAAACCCCCTATCTAAAAACATGAATATTTGTTCAAATAGACTACCTGACGTTCTCTGAATTCTTTTCAAAATGCCGAAACTTCCACAAATTTCATATCTCTCATAATTTTCTTCCTCGTTCTCTGCGAATTTGCACAGTTTAAAGTATCTGATCTTTTTACCTTTAACTTGCAATAACTGAGTATGATATCAACATGTTCTTAAGTCAATGCAATGAATACAACCCTTTCGTAAACATTTAGTTTGCCATTCCTATACTATTCATTTTTTTGGCATTTTCATTGGTCATGGAAAATAGACTCCATGAGAAGTTCAATTAGGACATCTCTCCATGCCCACAAACATACATGCAGCGAAATTGCTACGATTCTGCGCGTCATTCTTCCATTCAATACATTAAGGCACTAATTCCAATTCCGTTAACACTTTAATACTGTATTCAGTTCGCCCATGACAAAAATAAGCTTTAAGCAGAAATGACACGGCACATTGAAAATTGTGCTGCGGGTGGACTACCTAAATACTTCAGTAATTTGTTTCTAAACCTAAGCCTCATTTTTTTATAACAAAAAATTGGAGAACGGCTGTTGGTCGGATCCAACTGTGAGTTCAGACACCTGGATTCGCTATTCATGTCAAAAATTAAGGGGTTTTTGTTGAGCGTTTTTGATAGTTTTCAATTCGTTATACTATTCACATACCGCTCACCAACTCAAATTTCATAAAAGAGCGTATATAAAATAAGTCCGATTCAAGTATATACGGTGTTTTGTTACTCACAAAATAGTAACATTTTTTTCATAAAAGAGTGTGGGAGAGTCTAAACAAGTTTCGTCTCACAGGAGAGGCGAGTAACATTGATAGCATCAACTGAAGGATTCGATGAAGAAGTAAGGGCTCCTGCGTTGAAACCCAACGTGGGAGCTTGAGTAAAGGTAAGTATAATACCTGAAACATAAGAGATGAGTAAATTTTGATTCATTCAATTAGTAAGATGGTTGAGAAAATTGACCGCATACTAAGTGAGTGGATTAATTACAAACAAAAGCATATTAGCGTTCAGCTGTAGGTGTTCATTTTGCCCAAACTGCAGCTGATTCATCAAAGTAGATGAGCGCATGATAGGTGCAGATAATACCGCAATCATTAACTGTCGTCACTAATCGGATCGAAGGTGTCGGCATGGCTATTGATCCGTGCGTTTCCATCATTTGATTGGCATTTATTCAATACAAATTCATCAATCTTAAATAGAGAGCCGAATTTTTTACCACATTCTTTATTCACTACTTGTTAATAATTTTGTATTACTTTTTTATAATCAAGAGTCTTTTCAAGTCATTAGAAAAAGGCAAGTTACTGGTTGAGTGGCTGTGGGAATGTTAAAACAAAAATTTATGAAATCACTTCAAAACAAAGTAAAGAATTAATAGGTTTTCAATTTAATTTGCAACCTACTGTTCATAAAAGAATCAATTTTAAAATTACCAATCGCAGTTGTTCCAATAAATATCCAAAGAAGTAACCGATCTATTACAAAAGCAACGTATTTCCACTCTGATCGGATCTGCAGATAGAGAAAAGTAAAATTGACGTTAATAATATCAATAAATTTCCCAATGGATTTCAAATAGACTTGCTACCTTATTCCACTCTTCTTGTCGACGAAAATAGGCAATAGTTTTTTGGACTTTATCAAGAGATTTTTCTAGCTGATCAAAAGAAATCTCATCCGGAATACTCGTCTTGACGCTAGGAATGCTTTCAAACGAATCGATTGTGTTGTTCCTTTGAAGTGGTCGAATCAGTTTTCGTGAATTCTGAAGGAAAGTAAGAGTCATTATCGTTACTTTCATTAAACTTTTCTTTAAAAAATTATATAAATTGATTAGAAGCTGCCAAAATGATGCAGCCGAAAATATGCACTTTAAAAGAAAGGTCTCTGTCAAATTACTCAATCCTGTCAAAAGGTTGAAAAAATACTATTTTCGTCTCTCATGCCCTTAAAAAAGTGTGCAACTATGCGGTAGTCAAATTATTTGTGATCTTTCTTTCTTGCTATTCAGTAGATGGCAGAAATTGTCCTTTTTACTAACTTTGTGGTACGTCATTTTAAATAACTTATTTCATTAAGATATAAAAAATCACTAAAATCTGTTGATCTATTTACCTCAGGGCTTATGTGGATGTCTTGTCCATCATATCTTTTGATTAGGAGTAACTTTGGAAGAGTTTCAATGAAAATTTTTCTGATCCTTGGAGATATTCTATGAGTATCTGGTGATCGCGTAGCCACATTCAAAACCACTACCGTGGCGGCTGTTGACAAGATAATTGATACCATAGTGAAGAGAAGGAATTTAACAATCAGTGGCACCACCAAACTAGTAGGTGGTGAAATTTCAAAAACAAGGAGAAAAAAGACGGTGAGTGCTATTAGGGTAGAAATACTCAGACAAATCTTCTCCCGGCTGTCAGCGGGCAAATAAAACACCAAGACAGTCAAAACTGAGATTGACATGCATGGGCAGATAACGTTGACTCCAAAAAAGAGGGGTTTCCTGCGAAGAATTATGTGAAAGGTAATGTCCAAATAGGGCTCTGGACAACATGGATAGAATTCAATGTTTCGACTTGCAGAGACCCCAATAAGATCCCACTGAACATCTACAGTAAACATGGACAAATCGATTGCGTGATCAATCCGACTTCGACAGTTATCAAATGAGGGTTGGGATTTGGCCCTTTGACTTGTGTGACGTAGATCTATGAGTAGTCCGTGATATGTCCAGACACCGATTTTCATTGAACAATTCTGCATATCGAAAGGAAAATACTCCACATTGATTTCACACTGACTATTGAAAATGATGGGTGGACGCCATATCACCGTTCCATCGTGGTTAACAAAAACCTTTGTTGAAGAGGAACTCACCAAATCCCAGTCCCCACCAGCACTTGAGGTATGAAAATATAAAATCATTACCGCAATAAAAATACTCTTACTTATTGTATAAAACCAAATCAGGAGTCCAAATATTTTCTGATGGTAGTAGAAGTGAAGTAACATTTCCATGTTCTTCAGGATTCCACACAAAATTGTGATCTTTCCAATCCTAATGGGAATAATTAATAAATATACCAGCCAATTTGTTTACCAAATTAACCAATGCATTTGTATTTATTAACTGGCGCTTTTCGTCCTATAATAAAAGGTAAATTTTCTTAGTAGAACTAACCACTTCCAGGATTTGAATGAGGCTTAGATTCATAAATAAAAGGATAGCTGAGTCATGATTTTGGGCCGGTCGAGCGAAATGACTGTAAGTTTTTTTCGATGTTAGCCGCTCATAGAGATTTATGTCGTTGCCCTCGGAAACTGCTGCGCTAATATCTAAAAACAGATATATATATTAAAAATGTGTCAAATAAATCATACAAAAGTTAAAATATGTCTGACTTTTACTGTAAAGTCTACATGGATACTAAAGTGGCTTAAAATTCAACAATCAAATATGCCTTAATCATTATGTTAAACTGGTTGTAGCTAAAAAGAATTACCTGTATTGATGAAACTTGAAAATACCATTAATACTATGACTAGTTTCGATGCAATCAACTGTAATACATCATTGTACAATTTCATTTGAAAATAAATTACTCGTGCATAATCAGCATTTCGTTTTAGGTAATTGTGTTAGGTCAACTAGTTGAACCAACTTTCAATAACTCAAACTTTAACCATATCTTATAATCAATAAAATTTTATTTTTTAATTTCCTCTTGATTTTTATTTTATAGATGCTATTAAAGTTTTATTAAGGTCAAAATTTTATCATTAAATTTTTGAGAATTTGTAAGAAGAAAAAACTCTTAAAAGGATGTATCTGGTCTCAAGAATGCAAATCATTTATCCCATTTCAATCTTTTATCGAAATTTCAAAAGATTTTGCCTAGGTTTCTTATATTTTCTTTCCCAATTGCGGAATTGACATCCACTAATTGGTGCACATTTTAGCTATCATGTGTTTAAATAAATGCGCTCGCTTTATTCTTACCACTGTTCAGACTAAATTATTATCATACCGTTCTAGGAATCGAGGGTGATTTGAAATCAATGGTGAGCTAATAGATAAGGAATCGCCTGACGAATCAAAAGGCTCCAACACGCGAAGTATGAATCCCCTAGTCGAAGCCATATAGATACAAATTCATCATACTTAGATTTCCATAATTAAACGTGATTTACTTCCTATGAACCAAGATTCGTGTAAAACAAAACAGTTTATAATATATATGTGTGCCACTTTCCAAGCCTCAGTCAAGCGTTCCAAGAAAAGTGACATTGATTATCATGCTTTCGTCCGTTTCGCAAAAAAATAGAATTGTGCTTAAAAGAGACTCTATTCATTTTAAAAATAAAATTAACAAGTCATTACTATGTATTTTTAATTTGAACATAGCCTGCCCTAAAAAATTCATATACAATTATTGAGCTCTGCCTTTTGCAACTATATTTAGGAGATATTTAATTCAACAAAAATATTTCTGACCTTCTGTTATTGTTCCAGCTGGAGAAATAACATAACGATCTTTTATAAATGTATCCTAATGCGCTTAAATCACTTTTTATTTTATAGGGTAATTATACCAGCAGGCCGAATGTACCCATATCAAGAGCCGATATTCGTCTCCTTACTTACATGTGCTTATGTTTTTTAAAAAAAGAATGGCTGCGACTTTCAGGATCTAAACGATCTAGACTTTGATAACTACAACGACTCGTATATTTGTTCACTCTAGTGATATCCAGCCTTTTTGTCGTTCTAGGAATAACCGTCAAAAATATTTTTGCCGTTTACTAAAGCAATTAAATTTTTATTTTACTCTAAAATATGTATATGCAACTGTAACTATCTTATTTCTTCATTCAAATCTAATGGTTACCACGCTATGACCTACGTGGCTCATATTACCATCACTGTCTTCTTATAAAAGAGCAATTAAGTTCGATCAGACACCCAGTTATTTATTAAAGTATCATTTTGATTGCTAATCTTTGGAAGAAGTTCTAAAATTCTGAATATGTTAGAGTATATGTTGAATAGTTTGCTCGGTATTTGTTGGTATTATCTGCCCGAATCCGTTAAAATTTAAAACGGCTCTCTTTCAAAATTTAGATCAATCTAAATTGGTATTGATTCCGTTACTATTCTACTGTTGTTTTCCATAGTAAGATTATTATAGGCCTTGCTTAGAATTTAATTGATTAAGCCAAACTTAAATTATCGTTTTACTTTTAAATTCGCCTCTGCTTATTGTAAGTAAAGTTTTTGAACGTGTCACGTTACAGTCTAGAGAGGAGGTAAACTAATAATATGATATTGATATCGGAATATTAAGAACAACTCAAAGTTCGATTCACAATAGAAATTATAGTGAGCCTGTCAGTTTTTATCAAAAGTGAAGTAATCTTAACTCTTTCATTACGCAATAATCAGTTACATGATATTGACTAAATTGCACGAGTTTATTTAAGCTCAAAATAGATCCCTCAAAAATTGTGAAGTTTTTCCCCTCAAAAATAATATATAGTGAATTCGAACGGGTGTAATTTGACAAGGTCATCGGGTAATTAATCTAACTCAAATCTCAATTAAAAAAACTAAATATAGTTAATGAAATCTTTCTGTTGAGTTAGTAGCAAATATTCTCATTTGCCTGGGCAATTTCCCATTGATTAGTGATCGTCTATTTATAGGACACGATGAACATAGGATAAATATTAATATTCTGATTCCTTATAATGGAAAGAAAGCTTACAAAATCTGAAAGCATATTATAAATATATACGGAGGCCTATTATTACGTTCACATCCAATGGTTAAATGCATGACTAATATCTACTAAATATTTTAGCTAATATGTCATCACTGGCAAAATCACCATGTGATAAGTATTACCGACTGATAATCAAATTATTAAGGCAATCCAGAAAACCAGCTCCATTTTCAAGTCCTCTCCCTTATTCATCAATATAGATAAGTATGCACTTACTTTCAATTTAATGAATTTTTTAATTTCCTAGCCTGATTTGTCCAAGCATATGAAGTTGATTTTAAGCTGGAACTTAGTCGGAGGCGAAGAAATGCGAAGCAAATTATTATGAAATAGATATGTAACAGTGTATATTAGCAAGACATGTGTGGAAGGAAATAAAAGCAGGAAATATAAAAACAATAATTCAAGAATAATTTCTATTGCCTAATATGCCAGAAACATTGGTTTTGGGGAATAAGAAGGATTCTTGAAAATCTGTGCTTCCACTAAGGTTGGGTCGGGTTAGAGGTATCACAGAAAGTTAAAGTTAATAAACTCCGGTTCGCATATATAGAGTGAAGCACTTATATTAGACCTTAGAAATCATCAGAATATGCAAAGACAACAAAGCTTTCAAAAATTGCAAAGAGAAAAGTAAGGGCAGAAATAAAACTTTACCTGTAAATAATTGGCTTATTTAGTTTCAAATCTTTGCTCCGTATTTTCGTAATATGATAGATTATATGGATTTATTATACATATCCTCAGCAAGCAATTAGTAGTATGATTGCATATAAAATTCAAATATACACTTTCATAATTAATTTTAAACGAATTCTTGGTCGAGGCTTTTGGTGAGTACCTCTTAATCAAAAACGTAATTTATCGGTGTCTTGTTTTAATCACTCTTTGAATTTCTTGAGCGCAAGTTAGCAAATCCATTTATATTTGTCATGTGGATTTGTTGAGGCTTTTCCACGTAATACTCGGAATATTATTGGTTTAGGGTAGGTCTGGTCGAATCTTCAACCGATTGTTTTTGCATTAGTCTCGAAGAAGGTTTTTTGTTATGTTTTTATATTGATTGCCGTTTTTTTCGCTATTTTTATATAAATATCTAAATTCTAGGCTATTTCCCTATAATATTTGCCTTTGTATTGTAGAAATGCTCTTGTTCTGTTTATGGAAACAAATAATACCAATGGCTATTTCATTGACGACACTCTATACTCTCTAAATTATAAAAACAGCCCTTGCTATATACCTGTGCAATATTCAAAAATTAATAGTGATTCTACGTTTGATTCTATGGCTCCTCGTACAGTCGATGTTACAAATTCTACCAACACAAATACTCAAGCAATTTCGCAGACGGCTACCAAACAAGATCCTGATACTTTTGAAAGTTCGTCTTCATTCAAGCAAAAAATGCTAAAACCGAATTTACCCTTTTTCAATCCCTACATTTATGATGGTCTTACTGCTGAGTCCGTCGAATTTAAATTGCATAATCTGGCGGCCCGTTGTGAGCAGGCAGAGAGAAGAGCACTTCGGATTCGATTAAAGATCAATAGACTTCGAGTTCTTCACAGAGTGCCCGTTAGAATGATTGAGAATCTTTCTGATGCCACGGAGTCAAGCTCCGAAGATGAACTCATTGATGTTTCTGAACACGATGAATTGTATGTTCTTTTCTCAAATTTATATATGGTGTTCTTTAGATCAATTCGTAATCGCGCGGCTCTTCGTTGTCATTGGTTTTCATTTAAATCCGAGAAAGTGATCGCAGAAGACTGTCTTCGCAATCTTAGAAAATTACGGAGGGAATTTTCGAAATCTAGGGTTACTATCAAATGTGAAGATGATGATTGTGCAATTCGCACTCGTCCTTACGAAGCTTCAAGTGTACCAAGGCGTAAATTTTTCAAACTTTCTACATCCGATTTGAATTTCCAATATCCTGGTACGTTTTGTGTGCGTATTTCAGAATAATCTCTTGAATAGGTAATGCTAGGCCTACTCGACTTCATCATCCTTGTTGCAATCAGGCATGCTCCTTTTGCATTTGTTGCTGTTCTGCATTCGATAGAAAGGCTGTCGAATCAACTAATTCTGCGTACCCAGATGTTGCAGAGAGGTCAATAGCTGTTGATAAACCTAAATGTGAGTTGTTTGTCGTCTTATCTGTGCTTGAAATACATGGTTGTTAACCCCTTTGTTGCTTCTGTAAGGTCAGGGTCCAGTAAATGATTATATCCCCCCACCGAGAGTTCAATTGCTATCGAACGGAAGGAGCTTCAAATCACAACAACGAGAAAGTCATCCCTCTGGTTCATCTGGCGTTTCTTCTTTGGGGTCTCAGGATGATTGTGACCGGATACTTCACATTTCTGCCTCCTTGTCTCGTCCCGTGCGGACTTCGTCAAGTGCTGATCTGAAGAGAAAATACGATTTCCCTTCCACCGCCCCAAATCGAAATTCAGTTTGTCGACGATCATTAAATGATGGTGATGGTAATAATATACCTCATATCAGCTGGAAAAAAGTTCCCTATCCCTCTTCCGTTGATACAGAACGGGATTTGGGTCTACGTTTATCTCAAAACATGTATAAATATCGAGTGAGCTCTTGTTTAATATCTCTGACTCTGAAACATTACTCATTTATACATAATGTCACCGCAAAATTCTGCTGTGTAGGCTTAATAAAAACCCATTTTCGCTTAGATTTTATCCTTATTTCTTGTTATTTCATTCGGTTTCAAATAGCGAAGGGTTTATTCATTTAATTGGGTCGCATTTATTGTTAATTATTTCTTATTATTCCATTTGAAGTTTTGAGTGTTTTTGTGCAGGAACACTCCCTAACAAACCACCATCAACATACGTTTGAGAATCCGAATGGAATGCTCGAATTGGCGGGAAGTCGAAAGCGGAAGTTCAGTTCAACTTTACCGCCGAAATTTCTGCCCAATTCGAAAAGGTCGCATCTGCCTTGATGGTGTCCTCTCTTCAGCTTCTGCCTCTTATATTCCCTCTTCGCCTTTGGTAGCGTCTGTACAGCTTTTCCCTAGTATCTATCATCTTTCTTATCCTTCCAGTGTATATACTCACGCCTCCTGTTCCTTCTTAGTTAACTCGGTGTTGCTTATTGTGTGTACTTGTTAGATCGTGCAGGTATCACTGTACATATCCATTTCCTCTCATCGTAAATCTTTGTATTAATTGTACCTTCTCGTCCCTACCAAATCTCGCCTTTTTACGTGGGTAGACCTTTTGCACTTGGTGTTTTAGAGTCGGATCAAAATTAAAAAGCGAAATAGTAAGCCCCCTCTGTTGGATTTGGTCATATAAACACTGATGTAAGCTTCTAAGTATATTTTTTGTGAGTTACCAGGTGATTTGTAATCCTGAAATTCATGTAAATCCAAATTTGGTTCGTACCATTTCGCCAAATATGATTTTAGCTCATTAAAAATAGGTTTCCTCTCAGCACTGATTAGGATTTAAGAATTTTAATAAGGCACAGATTTAAGTGGGGAGAGGGCAGTCTGGCGTGAATGATTGTTTGGGTTGCATGTGCGATATGTTCGGCTTCGCAAGGATTACGTTTGTGAATTGGTAAGCGCTTGCGTAATAAAACTGTTCTCTAATCGTCGTCAATGCCGCCCCTGAGAGGAAAAAGGAGCTGGAGGCAAATCTGCGAACAGCGGGGTGAGTCAAACCAGGGCCTGGATTTAGCAGGCGCACACTACAGCTTACTCCCTCAACGTCCTAATAGCAGAAATTAGAGAACATATCGCAAGTGACTAATATTCAAGAGGAGAGGGGATACAATTGGCTGCCATAAAATCAGAGTTGGGTCACCGAATTTTATAAAATCTTGCACTCCCCACAAAGCGATTGCGGCCAGAAGAGCAATTAAATTAAAGGTAACACTCCATCCAATTGATGGTAACCCTCTTAACTGCACAACTAAGATGAGTTGGTAGATCGAAATAAAATGGCTTAATTTAGGCTCGCACTGTGTTCATACGCATGACGTGAATCAGACATCTATCTTGAAATTCAACTTAGGCAGCATATCGGTGTGAGAAAATCAATTTGCAATTCTCCCAGATGTGACAGAGAAAGATGGTTATCAGGTAAACTTAAGCACCGAGGCTTTTATTCCCACCCCTAACTTTCCAGTGAAGATTAAGAAAGAAAGCGTTGGCAACTAAAGTACATATCTGTTATCATGTTGGGAAAATAAATGAATTGCACAATTCTTATACTTATTTACGTAAACCAAGTGTACTTCATACTGGTTGGAAAGTGGATCCACTAATTTAAAATAAATAGGAATTTTGGATTTTCTTAAAATTTCAGTGGGAATGTCTGTACTTTTTCACTGTTTTCATATACTCTGATAGATTTATCGTAAGTTGCAGTTGATTCCAAAGTTATTTCCAAGACAGACGGGCTTAGATCTGAATATTTCAGAAATGTGCATGCCTTCCTAATAGACAATAGCTAAACCCTCCTACGGTAATCCATATAAGACGTTAACTATGGAATAAATTGAAAGTTAAATTGCCGCTGACTAAAGAGTTCTTTAAAGGTATTGATAAAGCATTTTGTTTATTCTTTTACTCAAACCAGAGGAATAGTTGTTAACTAAAAGTGGAACCCTGATGAATTCATGGCTCAAATACCTGTGGGACACGTTATCGCTGTGTGCGTCATCGTATG